GAGAACTTATTAATAAGATATGCTAACTACCTAATTAATAGACAAAAGAAAGAAAAAAAAAGAAGTGAAGGTATTATAAACATTTTTTTTGTACTACTGGATTTCCTTAAGATCTTTTGAATCAGAGAAGCCTCCAGAGGTGGTTGCAGAGAGATGGTCTGACTACCCGGCAGCTATTAGACAAAAATTACAGGAGGATTCAAAAAGTTTCACAGGTTTTGGAACATGGTGAGGCCAACTTCCAGTCGTAGAGATGGAAACAGCTCAATTTTATATTCAAAATCAGGAAAATCACAAGCTGTCCTACAGAAGCAGCAGCTGTGACCACCAGGGTGGAATGTCATTTGACCAAAAGCCTTAAGGAGATAGAAGTCGGAAATTTCAGGAAAAGTATTAGTGCAGAGGAACAAGAATAATGGTGTACAAAGGCAAGCATCACGAAAATCAAGGAAGCAGGTAGCAGCAGGCTTTCTGGGAATATATTCTGTGAGGAATAGGAGTACAGGAGAGTTGGATGTTATTAAGAAGTGTATGTACAACTGTAAGCAGAGCTTTACAAACTCAGTTTCTTAATTTAATCACAAATTTAAGAATGATTTTAAAATATTATTTATAACCATAACTGAATTCAAATCATAAAAGCATACTATCTTGGTGTATTTGTGAAGGAATATGATTACACCGAAACTTCTGTGAATGACAATCAGAAGCCTTATGCAAATAAATGGTGACAACAAAGACACAGCAATAGTGACACATCATTAAAGGTGATACAAAGAAACAGCATAAACATTTTGAAATAACATCAGAAAGACACATGCATGAGATAAAGCAGAAAGGAAGAGTAACAAAAAATGTTACATAAATAAAACACATGTAAGACAACAGGATTTTTACAAGATGAAAGGAGCTCTTTTCTCAATAACAGTGATGAAAGAACTACTTAAGTTACATTTAGATAGACCATATGTAAAGCCTGCTAACTGCTAAAACCTGCTAATTGCTAGCAAAAGACTTCAAGACCTTGCAGAAAACAGGAGAGCAGCAAGAGGACTATAAAGAAGAGCAAACCTACCTGGTCTTTCTAGGAAAAGGATGTAAGAATATATAAATGACAATATGCACTGTGATCAAGTGACTAAATAAACTATACATATAAAATCTTCGAGGAGAAGATGATAAAAATAAAATGGATTTCTTAAGGATAAATCATGTCAAATACCGAATTCTTTGATGAAATAACTGGACTGATCACTCAGAAAAATGCATATGCTACAGCTTAATATTAGTATAACTTCTGACACTACACCAATGATACATTGCTTTCAAGAAAAGAACAATGTGGTCTAGCTTAAACTGACACAGGATCTTGGTTCGGAAACTGCAGTCAGGATTCTGCAGTTATCTCTAATAGTCTAGTTCTTGCTATGCCTTAATTTTCTATTTCAATAGCTCTGATGTACATCTGTCAAGTTGCCACTGGTATTTTATTCAATACTTAACACATTAATAAAAATAAAATAATGATAACTAAGCTAAAATAACGAAAATTATACCTTCATTTTGAATTACATAATTATAAGCCAGTATACATTTTAGGATGTTTTTTCCCCTTCCTAGCTTTTGTGTTCATCTCCCTTTGCACAGCACCCCACATAACCTATATACTCAAACTTATGTTCCCTTCTGAAGGATATTAAAATTAATGTCATATCACTAAGTATTCAGTTTCTGGGGTTTATTCCATTTTGTTCGCTTATGTTTCAGTAATAATGCTGGTTTGGCTGTTTTCGGGCTAAGAACTAAGTAAAATTTTATATTTCGGGCTAAGAACTAAGTAAAATTATTTACTTTCCCCAGTCCCTCACTGTTCACTCCCCAACTAAATAAAAGTTAATTTCTCTGTAAATATTTAACAATCTTTTCTTCTTTCAAAAGTAAACTCATTCAGTACTTGTTGATCACGTCTGCAATGGTGAATTCACTTCTCCAATGTATAGAATTTTTTTTCTTGTATTTTCCTAGAATGAGCATGCAAAGATCTAAGATCACCTCAGCAATATGTGCAGGCAATGGCATAACACAGAAAAATGACATTTTCCAAACCAGCAGTTCAGAAAGGGAGAAAATAATTGTTCTTAAATTATTGTGTTTTCTGAAAATAATGGAAGAGAGACAAGTCACATACTTAAAAGGTAAACCATGAAGATCTTCAAAAAAAAGCACCCAACAGTAATTAAGCTAAATACCTAACCATCCGCTTAATAATTCTGTCTTTCCTGACGTATTTTGTAACTCCTAAATAGAATATTCCAAACTGATGGTACCTAGTCAGCCTTCCCCCTCTCCTGCAGAGTGGGCTAAGGTTTCATGTCTGTTGAGAAAAGCAAACCTTCCCTAGCAAAACATGAATTTCTTTAACGTGAAGAAATCACTTAAGGTAACAAAGGTGGACTCCCTAGCTGAACTACAGCCTGCTTACAATATTGACGAAGAAACAAGGAACAACAGTTCACGATCTTGTTTCTTCAGAACAAACCAAGAGAAAACATTCTAGGATGGACAAGTCTCCCCAAGAGAGCTTGTATATAACTGTTAACCTAGTGCACAGTGCTTGCCTGCAACTGCTGCAATGTCAATATTGTTACTGTCTTCATCAGAGTGAAGGATGAAGTAAAAAATACTTAAAATACAAAAAAGGAGGAAAAATATTTTTGTGTTTCTGAAACATGCCTAAAAATTTAATTTGAATGAATTAAATAAGCTATTAGAAAATGAGTGTCTCTTTGCTGCTATTTTTTGCTATTTTATTTTTCATTAAAAAAAAAAATCCATCTAAATGCAGTAGGATATCATAAAGCTTTTCACATTTTAAAACACTTTGGAACAATTATCTTGAAGGGAGCCCTTGACAGTTAAATTACTCAGTTAAATGAATCTTATAAAAGATATATAATGATTTTAGTAAAATATTGAATTTAACTGCAAATAAGGAAAACCAGGCACAAGCAACCTGGGTGTATTTGAATAATATTGTCTTGCTTGAGAGTTCAGTGGATTTTGTATGCTCTAACAGTGAATCTATTAGCTAGAGAGACCAAGTTGAAATTTTTTCTATCTTTTTCCTTCACTTTCATGTTTGTTTTTCACCTCTATTAAACATCTCTCTATTTTTTTCTTTTTTTTTTTTTTTTCTTTAGAAAACTGTTTTTTGGTTTTGTTATGCTGGGGTTTTTTGCTTGAGGATACTGATGCCATCCATCCCTGTGTTACATTTTACTGTGATCATATGATGGTAAAGACTGCATTCCTTAGCTTAAGCATTCCTTCTTGTTTTACTGATGATGCTCAGAAACTGAAAAAAAAACAAACCCAAAATTAAAAAAAAACCCAAACAAACCCCAAACCAAAGCAAACCAAACTAAAAATAAAAAACAAACCCAAAAAAGCCCTCGACAAAAGAACAAACCCACCAAAAAAATCCAGTGCTCCCATGGAGCCTGATATCAGAATTTTGACACAAAAAACTACTGTTGAAGTTAGTGGGAAGCTTTTGTGGGTGACATGGGTAGAACCAGGCCTACACAGTATAGATTTATTTATCCTAGAATATTGTCCACTTAACTCTGGTATCTTTACATTATTTCTCATGACCATATTAAAAACCAACTTTAAATAACATACCAGTTTGCTTTTTAAAGTTATACGTATCATTATTATTATTATTGTTATTGTGCTTCAGCCCAAGAACAAGGCACTATTCTTTCAATGCTGAACCACCATTCATTTAAGGTCTTTATTTGCTGGGAGAAAGATAAATTAATGGATAATTACCCACTAGGAATGTATGTCCCTGTAGATAAAGAAAGAGAAAAGAAAAGTCTCAATGCTGGAGAAGTGAGGCTGAAAAACAGGGATCATACATACTCAGTTTCTCTGGTGAAATGAGGTGGAATGACTGTTTCACAGTAGAAGGGACAGCTACACATATGAAGGCGCTATTTATTGGGATCTACAGTCTGTCTAAAGCTTTCAACTCTCTAGTTTAACACTAAAAACAGAAAAAAAATTGCTGGAGCAGTCAAAACTTGTTAGGAGTGCAAGATTCAGGTAAAAAACCCCACCAAATTGATGGAGTAAGATCTTTTTTTGGAGGAAAAAACAAACAAAACAGCTGAAGCAGTATCAAATGCACAGTGGGGTCAGGGAATCAGTTTGCTTAACCCAGTTTTTCAACCTCCTGAAGTTTTTACTTCCTTATACCCAGACGATATCCTACATCTACTGTGGGTGCCTGGAGCAGCCTGATGCAGGCCTCCTTAGAGGAGAGGGCAGAGCTCTGAAGGGTGCTCCCCACTGCTTCGGGGTGTGAAAGAGCATGAGCCTATTCATTCTCTGCTGCTTGCTGCCTGCTCCCACAGCACCCTGCATCGCCCACCCTGGCAGAAAAGCTTGTTTAAGAAAAATCGGGCGTGGAAATCAAGGAAATAAAAAAGAGTCACTTGGCTCTATTCTAGGAGCATTCACCCTAAGAAATTAAAACTTTAAATATCACTGGAGTACTAACATCAGTAGCCATACCACTTGGAAACTACACAGACCTCACTGTGCTTGGATAATTACTATTACAGAGGCAAGAGCATTTTAACTGAGCAAAGGATTAATTATTTTCCTCATATACCCTTCTTGCCCCCTCCTCCTCCTTTGCCACCTCAGAGTGCTGGAATAAACATAATAGTGCGTTTTGCTTTAAAAGTCAGCCACGGTTCAGTGAATAGGCTGACATGCTATTTCATGTGAGAAAAGAAGCTATGATTTAATCTCAGTTTCACTAGCTAAATTCACAGCTGATGTATCTGGGGATAGTTAAGCCTGCATTCACTGAAAGTCATCTGTATTATATAGCATTTGGCCCTCTGCATTTCCACACAGCACAGGTGAAAAATTAACTAGATTTCTTGCACTTGCTGTGCAACAATGGTAAATCTCTATATACTTACAGATGTAGAAATATTCCCGGCCTGGCCTGAACTCAAATCCTAGCGAGAAGGGTGTGAAGAGCTGGAACTTTTCAGAGAACTTCAAAGGTCCATTTGGGGAATGCGGCCGATTACATTCCCACCTCTTGAACCCTTTGGAGGTGTGATCACAGGAGCTGTAGCCATCAAAGTTCACCATATACAGAACATAGCGTTCGGTCTTATCTTCTGGAACTGAATCATCGTAGTGAGGGCAGAACACATCCAGGTAGTCATTGATGCAGACATCGATGTGGTAGTCACCCCGCTGAAATCTAAAAATCACAGGAAGAGTTCAGATGTAAGCACAGTTAACTCAGGATAACCTTGTTGCAGGGTAACATTCTCATGAAAGGGGCAGCACTAATGACACTTCACTCCAGACATGTGCATTTTCTCTCAAAAATTCACCAGAACTATCAAAGACTGCTTATGCAGGACTATGATCTTACAACCTTCTGGATAAAGGTTTTGCTCTCTTCTTTTACAAAATGAATCTATTGCTAATTCTCACCAAGTTACAGCTACCTTTACCTACAGTTTATTGAATAAACAAAGTGTCTGCTTTATTTGGTTGTGGCTTTTTTTCTTTTTTTTTTTATTTGAAGAAACAAGCAAGATGCAGAGAAGAAGCCAAAACTGTATCAGCCTCCCCAAATCAGCATCTATATAAACATCTACATATGCATGCATATAACTCAAACATACCCTCTTCGCTGAATCAGGCACCAATCACCCCTATGCTGAAAGCTGATTTGACTGAGAGTACTTACAGTTACTACAAGAGCACAACCAGGTTTACTCTTTCTTCATGATTAGCAGCAGTTTGTCAAGATGCAAGGAAAAGTCTCTATTCCTTTGTGAAGATACTGAAAAGCAGTGTATTTCCTTTGCCAAAAGTACACAGTGGAGACATTGCTCTGTTCAGATAAAAGGATTCTGGGATACGAATTATCAGCACTTAGCCTAATGTGACAGTTCTGAATGAGTGCCAGCTGAGAAATGCAGTGCAAGGCACCAGCCCAGATGCACTTTATTATTACTATTATTATTACTATTATTATTACTGAAGACTTCTTAGAGATGTGAGATTATTGTTTTCCTGGTGACAGGAGGGTGTCCTTTTTTCTCCCCTCCATGTTTCACTTACATTACTTCTCTAATGCCTGCCAAAGTATCTGGAAGAAACCATGGGAACAAATTCACTGCCTCCATGGGAGCTTACACCATGATGGATTTAATGATTCCATAAACCAGGTCTGTATGTCTATCAAACTCCCTGGGGCAGCCAAAGAAACCAGCCACTGACCTACTCCACTTCAGGCTGACTGGGCTACTTGTAGCTTCTCTTTTTCACGGCTGCAGTTGTCAAGTGTACCATACAGCAATAAAAAGGCCATGACAGATTTAACTATAATACTTCTTTTTAGCTGAGGGGCATATTTTAAACACCTGATGGGCTTGAAATCTGCCATCTGGATCCTTCTCTCTAATTTCAGAGAAAAAGCAATGATCTGCTGGCCCTCCAAGGATAAATTCAGAGCAAACTACACCTTTTCATACCCTTACAATGATTTAACTTTAATAAAATAGCTTTTTTAAGGGGAAAAACTGAACACGCATCAAAGCATGATATATCTGTATAATTTCAGCCAGTGCACAGCCTTACAGTTCCATTCTGTAACATGGAAAAGCCTTTCTGAACCACAGTTCTTCCAGAAGAATTTACATTTATCTAAATCATTAGTTAAAAATGTATTTTCGTACTCCAGTGCTTTCAAAACCTGTCACCTGAACAGATACTGTCTTAACAGATTTGTAGTAATGTACTGTGTTTAAATTGGTGTCTGTTCTCTGAATCGGCTAGCAGTATGCCATTTCTTACAGGTAATGAAAAAGGTACCTAACAAGTTATGAATAAGAGAGCTGCATTCTGGCAGTGATTTTTTTTTTTAAATTACAGTTTTAATAAGTAGAAATGAATATCTATTTATTATATGTGTGTGTGTTTGCGTGTGTGTGCTTTTTTTTAACCATGCATGTGACAGACAATGCAGATTTCTTAAGGGATTCTCAAAGTTACCTCATATATCAGCCTGTGCCTTCACAATAGTGCCTAATTACAGTTTTGTGACAAAAACTATATGCTTTCAGAACTATAGTTATGTAATTGAAGACATCCAGGATCAGTATGGTCTTCTTAACATCAGACTTTCACAACACAAATAGCCTTGTATGAATTGCTTCTCCTCATTCTCTAAAATTAATAGAGAGAACGTGAGTTCAACTCATCTGACTTGTTTAGGCCCAAAGTACACTGGAATGAGATGGATCACACTCTAGAAGCAGCTATCATCTCTCACCTTTAACCAAAAGGAGAGTCTAGACAGACATTTTCCAGACAGAGTCTGTATTCTCAACAGCACAGGCTATGATAATGGAGATGTTAAGTACAGGGAGACAGACATCTGCATTTGTGATCACATCTTAAATCCATGTTAGCAATGAAATCAAACTTGTAATCTGCACCAGGTGAACAGTTCTACCCAATAGTGCACACAAAGAGCTCATCTGACTCCCTTCTGACAAAATCCCTACACTACTCTTGCTAAACAAACAAAACCACAACACAATCATCCTCTTTGATCACTCATATTTTAGTAGATTCATTCTTATTTCTGACTTCCTAAGTGCTGGAGCAGTTGAGTGACCACTGCCTTGTCAGAAATATGGAAAGTAAGAAGCAAGCGCTGCCTGCAAAACAGGTCTGAGCATACAATCAAGTTCTTTTTATCACAGTCTCCTTCCTTTCCTGCTCTCTTACTATTTTCACTCCACAGTCATTCCCCATAGCCAGAAGGTGTTTACATTTATGCATCTGAAAACTGGAGGAGATGGTGCATATTTTAAGTGATCTAATCTGGCCTTTAGCTGAATTGCTGGCACAGCAGTGAACCTGGCTCCAGGGAAAACACTACCAAGCAGCTCTGAGGGCAGACTCTTCACTCAATATAGTAACAGCAATACTGAAAAAAGGTTATTAGCCAACTAAGAAGCAGCAGCCAGGTATTTATTTCCCCTCTTGTAGTATCTTACAGAAGTCAGTAATCAAAACCTCAGCGTGTGTACTGAAGAGATGTAGAACTAATTTTATTTTTCAAAAAAAGGCTAATATTCCAGCATGCCTCCTGAAGTTAACTGAGACCATTCTTATGTCCCCAGCTGCAAGGAAGTGTGTTGTATTTACCATCTTGAAGAGGAAACACGAAGGCCTCTAACCCGAGCAGACAAGCAAGGGATGGCCACGAGTAACTCACAAAAAAATTAATCAGCTGAGACTCCTCAAAGCTTTTAAAGGAAACACTTCAGAAACACATTTCGAAGAATTTTAAATGACATCCAAGAGGAAAACACTTAACATTCACAGGCTGAAAACCTCTTATTAGTAGTGTAATGTCAGGTATTGGAATGAAACAAAAGTTCCAGTTCAAATGAAAGCATTTATCAATGTTTAGCCACCTACATATGCTAAGGAGCACAACATATGAAGGGAAGATAGAATCCATTAAGAAATATATTTGTAGAGATGACAGGAATAGCAGATATCCTGTTGACTGCATTTAAGGTTTAATAACTTTGGGTTTTTTTCCAGTTCCATTTAAAACAGAAAACTTGCTTTCCTGCTCTCTCTAACAGTGCTACTGATGTACTTTTCCTTTACTCAGCTAGGTCTTCATCCTGTTCTGGTAGATCTTCATCTGCACTCCCACGCTCTTCTGGAACCACGTGGTAATCAGGATCTTTATATAAATCTCATTGCAAGTCCTATCTAGATTTTACGTAACAGAACATTGTGTTGTGGTATAAACCAACCGAAAAGGCTTCTCTGAAAGCCTGACAGGATCTACAAACCTTTTCCAAATAATGTCATTTGTCTCTGTGCACTCTGGCTTAAACACAGCAAAAACAGAGCCATTCTTCAAAGACAATTAACCTTTGTTTTTTGTCAGGTGGCATTCAAAGAGTGTCCTGGAAATGTGTATAGTACAAAGCTAGCTATTAGGTGGTAGGGCCATAAAAGCCATTTTGAAGACAGAGACAGATAGTTAAGTAGCTTCTAAGCCTAAACATTTCCATAAGTAACAAACACCATCTTGCTACACAAAACTTGCATACTGCTTCCAGCAAAGACAGTCATAGATGTTTCTGTCTGGCTCGAGTGCCACTGATTAAATGGTCAGGTATTCAGGACTCAGAGAAAGAACTTCATGGTAATTTTCACCACAAAAACACAAGACTAGCAAAACATTTTCACAGTAATTAATGCCTTCTTTATTCTGTTTATCCATTAGCACAAATGAAAGTACACAGACTGTGTGCATGTTTCTCTTCATAATTGTAAGTTCTGATGCATATGTGGCTTATCTTGAATTTAATAACTTTGCTGGTCTCTGAAACAAATGACAATTCATTTAAGCAGATATTTGGAATGCAGAAACAGTTCTGTTTGGGTTTTGTTTCTTTCTTCCTTCCTTTCTTGGAATAAACACTATAAAAATCCAGTTTAAGAAGAGCTAACAACACTAATTGCCCATTATCATTTAGATAGATAAAAAATTGCAATAGCTTCTGCTTGTTGCTTCCCATACAAATCTGATTAGTTATATTCCATCACCCTTCCTGTAAAATTGACACACCAGATGCTCTACTTCAAGATAAGTGTACTGGAAAATTTTCTTTCTACTATGTCAACCTTTCTTTATTTCAGTATGTTCTGTCAAATGAACGTGGCAAGGCTTCATTGTGAGCAAGAGAAGACTTCAAACACCTGCTCTGAAAACGAATTATGAAATTTTGGTCTTCGATCTGGCGTCAGAAGGGATCAGATGCAAATTCTGCTGCCTGGAGCCTGCACAGCCTATAACATCAGTTTGCAGAGGACACTACCACTGCTGAATGCCTTACACCAGCTGCCTTGCTCTCAAATGATAATCTGAAATGCAAAGCAACATCAACTAAATTCTCTGAATCCATTCATTCTTGGGACAAATACAAACCACAATTACCCATAGTTCTTCAGAAACAGCACAGAAAAAAGTTATTCGTCCTGTTTCCTAAGGAAAAAAGGCTTCTGTGAGCAGCATGTGCATACTCCAGTAACTGCTGGTCAATCAGCTCCTCCTTTTTTTACTTTTAATTTTTTTTTTTTAACTTTCATAGCCAGTAAACCAGTTTTAACTAAATTTAATGGAGACAGAGAGGTCTCAGAGAGAAG